CACTATCCAGGAAATCTTATGGCATATATTAAACCTTTTGGGCCATTCAGGAAAGAGCTAACCTGGAGATGACCGATGAAAGTTTTGCTGGACTTCAACTACTCAAGTATCCAGCTTCAAGAATGTGTTTCCATGCCCAGCTTTTGTTCCTTCATAAATGTGTCCTTTAGTTTCAAAACAGATCTTTATAGTTTGTGCTTCATAAGCCAATCCTTATTATTTTTTTTTGGACTCTTCTTCAAAGAGCTTGCCGGTGAAGATTTAAAGACAAAGCAGGAGCTTCTTCCAGTAGTTCTGAGCCTTGGCTTTGGACAAAACAAACTGAAGTTGGGCAGCTTTCCTCAACAACAAAAAAAGTTATTAATGGTCTTTGTACCAAACCTAGAACTTTATCAAACTCAAAGCTTGGGGAAAAAAAAAAAGAGAGAGAGCAAGAGAATACTGTAACAAACTTCGTACAGAGTTCAGTCTATTAATTGTTTCATGTTAGATATTCTATGTGTTTACCTCAATTGAAAAAAAAAGAATGTTTTTGCTAGTATCAGATCTGCTGTGGAATTGGTATTGTATGTCCATGAATTCTTTTTCTCAGCACGTGTTCCTCACTAGAAGAAAATGCTGTTACCTTTAAGCTTTGTCAAATTTACATTAAAATACTTGTATGAGGACTGTGACGTTATGTTTAAAAAAAGGTGTTAAGTCACAAATGCGGTAATAAATATTTCATTTTTGATTTTTTGTTAGGCTTTTGTGTTTTTAATCATTTTGAGGAAAGGTTACACAATATGAGATGACCAAGGCACTGAAAGGTTGGTGTGTGTTTTGTTTTGTTTTGTTTTGTTTTGTTTTTACCAGAAGTTGAGTATATTTAAAATTTAACCTACCAGCAGTTTTAAGGTAATCACCGGCCACCTTTCGAATATATGTTTCGCCTGTGAGCTCTACTAGCAGAAAACTTATAAAGGTACAAAATTGTGTGTGTTATGAGCTAGGTTGAGAGATCTCCTTCCACATGACCCTCTCCATTTAGGAGTTATAACATTCTAGAAGAGACTGCTAGATGAAACTTCCCATGTTTATTCTCTGCAAACATAGAGGAGGTTTTGTTGTGTTGTTGTACATTCATTCAGCAAAATTTGTCAGAGCATTTTTGTATTAAAAGATAATTCAGCTGTCTGCTTTTTTCTTCAATTTCATTTTCTTAAATGCTGCTGAACATATAGATTTAAACTCTACGTACAATGAGTAAATCATCCTAGAGTTTTGAAATGTTAAGGCAAATCCAAGTAATCACAGCTGTTTAACATTTTCTTACAATGTTTCTCTTTCTCCACCCTGTCCACTGCCACATACCTGTATCTGTGTGTGCATACTTAGGTGATGCTTTGTTGAATCACCTTGGGGTATTTTGTTTTGTTTTTTCATTAAAAATGTACTTCCTAAACTCCCCTTTTACCATCTACCTAAAAAGAAGCCATCCAACAGTGACTGGAAGGCTGTGCCATTAACTTGTCCATATTGAAAATACAATCTATACTAAATGGAATGAGGAATGGATTTGGAGTCAGATGATCTGGCCAACATTTCAAATGCCAACTTTGTCCCTACCTTCATGACCTTGAGCAAATCTCTTAGCTTCTGTGGGCCTCAGTGTCCTCATTACTAAAATGAAGGTAAGGATACTTATTAGCTCTAAATCTATGATCCTATAAAATAACCTCTCACAAGAAAAATGTAAAAAAAAGTAGAAAATTTTTACTATGAAGTTATTTACCGCAGCATTTTCCCAAATATTAATAGTCTATCTATAGATATGATGATATTAAAAAATATATACACTGATACCTGCTTTCAGAGTGATAAATTAACTATTCATTATCTATGCAAAGCTGGATTTGAAAGTCAAGCAAAATATCATTGGGATTCTTTCACAGTTATCCCATTCGAGGGCAGTGGGGTGTGTGTGTTAAATGAGGGATAGGGATGAGGACTGGCCCTATGATTTCATTAATAAAGGAAATTTCTTAATGAGGAAGCTCCCTCTACCAGGGCAGATTGACACTTTCTCTATAACTTCTATAGCCATAGAGAGTTGACTAGTGAACTGAGAGGCTAAGTGATTTGCACAGGTTCATAGCCCAGAGTGGGGACTTAAGCCCAGGTCTTACTGGCTTCAACTTCCCAGTGATCCCCTCCCCGTTTTCTCTCTGTGTGTGCCCCCCCCACTATATGTGTATAGATGCATATATACTTATATGTATAAAAGAAGAAAAAGTAACTTAGTTTTATATTTGTTCATGACAATTTTTATAAACATTTTGTTAAAACTAATCAGTGAACTATTAGGTTATCTTTTATATATGAAGATAGAGTCTTGGAATTAAAAAGAAGGGGTTGGGTGGTCTACTCTATATTTCCACTGTTTACTTAAAAGAAAAGTAAGTTAAAAAAGTATTTAAAGATTTATACATTTTTAACTTGAAGGTACTACCCCATTAATTAAATTTTGACTAGATTCTCATTTATAACTTAGAAACCATACCTGCTAATATTTACTTGTTAATGTTCTTCAATTCCATGCAGTAAATGCTGGAGGATCTATTTCACAATTGAATGATGTTCAGGAAACATTTTTATGGGATTGTTATTAAGACATTCAATTTAAATTTAGAAGCCTGAGCTCTCTACCCTGCCTTTTAACAAAGGAAATTATCTCTGGACCTAAATTCTACCAAAAAAAACCACAAAAAAACCCCACAAAAAACTCAAAATATACAAAACTCACAGATCTTGTCATCCTAACTTTAACACACATGAATATTCAAAGATAAGTAATAATTAGAATAAGGCTTATTGGTATTTCTCAGCTGACAAAATAATATATACACATATATATAATTTCAAGATTTCTACCCATTTGTTATGGGCATCTAGAAAAAAATTCAGCCATGCCAAAGTGGGGAGTTTGCATGATTATCTAAGGTTACTTTTGTCAGGTTTTTTTGTACCACCTTATGAGGCACTTGCTCCTATCTGAGATTTACTATTTAGAATGGAGTGTTCTGATTTGGGTATATTTAAGAAATACTCAGCTGTCAAAAGCAAAGAAACTGGGAATGGTGTTTTGACAGTGATATAGTGTTAAAGGAAATACTGTAGTCTGAATAAAATTGCTTATGTTCTCAAAAACAAGAGTAATCTAAAAACACTTTGTTTATTCGGGGAAAAAAACAGAAGGAAAAAATTCTTAAGGCTTCCATTTCTTTTAAGAAATTCTGAGAGTTACAAAGTGGGCAAGAAAACCCATTTTACAGAAAAAAAGAAAATTTCTGGCTGTCTTTATGCATGTCTCCTTTCCTGCCCCTTCTTTTTTTCTTTTCTTCCCTCTTGTCGGTCTATCAAGTCTCTTCTTCCCTTCCCCCCATGTCTCTCTTTTTCTCATCATAGAAGTTGTGCTTGTAGAGAGATTCATGAGGTAGGCTTCCCTGTCATGTTAACCCAGAGCAGATTTGGGAGGGGAAATGTGGCAAATATCTCTAGCAGCTGTCAGACTCCTGAACCTCTTTTCAAAGGGGATGGAGTAGTGTCCTCCACAAATTACCTATTAGGCTTACAGCCCATAAAGAGTATGAGGTCCCCTGCTTAAGATTCCTGGGTATGAGATGAGCCTGTGTGTATGTGTGTGTTTGGATTCCTGGAGTGACCAGGACTTTCTAACAGCTATTCTCTCCCAACCCTGATACAGATGTATCTCTCTAAATAGAGGAGGGGGCGGGGACCATGGAAGAGGAGAGCAGAATGATTAATATTTTCCATTGACTATTTATTTGGGGTGGCTATTTCAGATTAGGGAGATGTACACTCCAGCTCCACCCCACCCCCACCCCCTCTCCTTCCTACACTCCCACACAAAAAGGGGTATGGAGGAGTGGAAGGAGGAGGGGGTGTAATCTTGCTTTAAACGCGAACATAGGGGCAATCTTAACAAAAACAATCACACTAGTAAACAAACATCGCATTTTGTTCCGTCTTGTTCCATTCAGTTTAAGCTAGGCTAGAGGATGAGTTGCATAAGAGGTGAAATATGGATCTGATTGGGAAGGCCGGGAAGACTATGATGAGAGTAGAGACTGTTGGGGAAGTGTTTGAAGGGAGGTTTTAATATTAATAGTTTCGATGTAGAGACAGAAGGGAGATTGCGTCTACGGCTCCTCGGGGCAGACTCCCAGTGACAGCGATGATGGATGATCCGGCGCAGCAGAACAGCTCCTCCCCTTCAGCCCCAAACAGTGTCAAAGCTACTTTAGTTGAAGCTTTAGAAATAAAATAAATAAACAGCACTCACACCCCCTTTGCCTACTCGCCTCGAATCCACCTTCATCCCATCCCCAATTCCTACTTTCATACATCGATTTATGGGTCATTATAAATCAATTACTAGTCTCAATACCTTTTTTTTTAAAAATTTACTTAAAGTAACCGAAAGATGAAAAGGAGGCTTGGTGGGGATCATCTCTTCCCCTCCCCACTCTCTTCCAGTGACAGAGGAATAATCATGAAATCCATTATATCATAATTAGAGTTACTGAGAACTAGTCGCTAAAGCAAAATGAGGTACTCATCCAATTTGTAATGGGGGAAACTCGGGGTTGAACAGCCCAGCTCCAATTTGCTGGGGAGTTTTGTTTGTTTATACATTTTGTTTTATTTTTGCTTTTAATGTTTTTGTTTGGTTTCAGTCTCTTTAAACTAAGGGGTTTTCATTTTCTCGCAGCTTTCTCATTGAATCCAGCGCGAGAAATAAATTCCTACAGTTTACCTAACCTAATTATTTAACTTCGTGGGAAAAACCTAGTTGAATATGTGTCTCAGCAAACATCAGATGTTGTTGGTATTGAGGTCGCAAATGTAAAAAGGTGTGGAGGAATGTTATCGGTCTGGATTCACTTTGTTGTTAGAAACTAAGAGAGGGCTTGGTGATGGGTATGGGGTTTCTTTTCTTTCCTCCTTCTTTTGGATGTTTTTGTTGTTAGTATTGGTCTGAATCCGTCCTCGCCTCATTCTCTCCCCCTCCCCAACCCTCTTTTCTTTTCCCTCTCTTGCCCCTTTGCAGCAGTGTTAGAGGCTCTCAAGGTGTTTCTATGACTACATTGTGTATGTGGGAGGGTCAGATGTGGGGGTTGCCCAAGAGAGGGCCGTTCTTGGGTGATCATTTATCAATGTCACCCACATAATGATTCTCTCTGCAGCCTCCTATTGATGAGGATAATTACATTAGCTCGGAGTGACTGATCAATGAAAAAACCACCAAACAAAAACTTCTTTACTCCTCCATAATACCAAAAACCGATACAGAAATAACACAGAAAGCCTGATTTCTTCCTTGCTCCCCCATCCACCAATGAATCCCGCTCCCCTCCGCCCCCCCAAAAACCACACACACACACACACACACACACACACACACACACAGAGTAAGAAAATAGAACCAGGTCAGGTACATTAAAAGAAGTTTGCAATTTTGCTCCAGACCATGTTTCTCTAAATGTGTTGGTTTCATCCTTACCCTGGTAAAGTCTATCAACGGATTTGCAGTTGAGTTGATTTTATACAGGTCTGTGATTTTCCATTGTTTTCATTCTTTTCATACTTTCGTTCCTCCCACTTTTTTCTTTTTTTGAGGGGGGAGGAGAAGGGTCTATTTCCCGTTTCAGGAAAGTAAGGCAGCTGCTTATATGTTTCACAAACTGAGAAAGAAAATTACCTTGGTTCTTTTTTTTAACACCATTTCTCTGTCAGGTTTTCTTTTGTTTTTATCGCTTCATAAAGTAGCTCAATTAAAGATGGGATTTTGCATCCATATAAAGGGCATATTCATAAATATGGCTGCAGTTATACCCATAATCTTTCCCCTAAAAGTTTGCAGTTAAATTACGATTTCGCTTTTTCTAGAGTTAAAAAAAAATCAATATTTTTCTCAATTAAAGGGAATTTTAATGCTTTATTTTGTGAGTTGTTAAAGGCGCTATAAACTTTATTATAATCCTCCGCGTTGGAGTAGATCCTGGAGGAGACTGATTCTAGTATTTCCCGACCCCCTCTCCTCTTCTTTCCCTCTCCCCCTGCCATTCCCAGAAAAGTAGATGGTTTCAAACCAAACCAAGGCAACAAAGGTGGGGAGGGGGGCGGGTGGTGAGCCTCGCCAAGAGATCTTTCCATTGCCAAAGGCCATTGTCTTGTGTGTTTCCACCTCTCCTGGTCCCGCCTCCTGAAAGTGACAAAGTGTCCATTTCAGTCCACTTTTTCTCAGAGGGACAGCGCACTGGACTCCATCTGCTTTGACGACGACCAGAAAATGTTTTCATTGAGGAGCATCCTAGAGTTTTCAAACAGCCTCATCGTGTATTTTGCTTCCCCCTCCCCAACTCCTACATAATTCGAATTTATATTCGAAGCTGTGTGGCCGACTTAACTCTACTACTTTATGTCCGCGTTGAGTTCTTTCTCGAATAGTCTGCAGGAGTTCTCTGTAGTGTTCAGTGTTTACAGATGTGCTTCTGTTTCCACATGTGCTACTGACCACGAGCATCCATCCCACAAATTAATTGTAGTTGCGTTAATGGCTCACCTCTGCTGCTCTCACCTTTCTAACCCAAAGGAAAAACCAGGAAAACCCACGTACAATGTTGTTCTGGCACTAAATGATTGGACATCATTGGCAATCATATGCATTACCTACGTAACTGTACAAAGCTATACAGATGCAAGATTAGGGACTTGATAGTAAACAGAGGCTAGTGAAAAATCTCTGTAAGAGCAAGGTAAGTAGAAGAATTGGGAGCCGAAGTTACATTGAATCCTTAGATCACATGTGGAAGTTACATACATTGAGGGGAATAGGGAAGGAATAAAATAGAGACAGTGAAGAAAACTTTGGGACCTCTTTTAACATATAAAGAATTCACTCAGTTAAGGTACGCCATCCCATTTCCTAAACTTAAGGTCCAAAGGGGATCTTCGAGGCTGCCAGAAAGGTCCTTGGTATCCTGGAGGACGTGCCCGCAGTGTTCTTTCCAACTTGGTAGAGACCAACTTTCAGCTTGCTTGGGATGAAAGGAGTTCGAAGGAAGGATGTATGTATGTATGAAGTACTGGGGGGGGGGCAAAGGCCTGACTAAGGGTTCAGGGGAGGAGACATTTGAATGCTGTTTTTTCTAAACTAGTCCGTGGAAGAGAAAAGAGCTAAGGAAAAAAAAAAGGCGCATTGGCTCACAATGCATTTTAAAGTAATTGCCTCTCCACCCGCCTTTCACCCTCTCCCTCTAATCCCACAATACACTGGATAGTGTATATAGGTGGGAAAAACTAATAGTTCATCTTTCCTTTTTGGACTCACCTTTATCAATTCCCCCACTCCTTGATGCCTAGGCGTAAAAGCCGCAACTGTAGACTTTTGTTTTTTTCCTTAAAAAAAAAAAAAACAACGAGCTGAGCTGGGGCTTTGTTAATGTATTTGTATTTTTCCCCCCTTTCAAACCAACTTTCTTGGTTGGGGGGAGGGGGTGCAAGGAGGAGGAGGAGGAGGGGAGGAGAACACAAAGACGATCTAGTTCTCACCAAGCAGGTTTCAAAATAGGAACTTAATGGAAAGGGAAGGGGGGGGAAGAGAATGTTGTGTTCATTACATCAGGTTTATTTGTCTGGAAAAGAGGTGATTTTGAGATTCCCCACCGAGGATTCTGGTTTCCTCATATAGAAACATTTTCAAATTAAAATCTTTGAATAGACAAATCCTCGTCATTAATATAACATGGAGGACTGGCAGAAAAACTGAACTAAAACTCTGCTGGGGAAGTAAGGGACAAGAAGGAAACAGGGAAAAAGGGAGTCCTTTCTGATTAATAACTAGCAGGGTAATGTTGAGGGCTTTTTCTGCCCGGTTGCCTTTTTGAATTAGAGCCGATTTCTTCACACTTCAATAGTGCCTGTCTCCTTTAAAATGACTGACAGATTTGTTTCTCTTTTTTCTCTCCCCGAGACTTAATGATGTAAATTTTCTAATTAGTTAAATCACGTTGCTTAAAGGCCTAATATTTACCGTGCAAGAAGTGATCATCCTGATTGAATCTCTTGAAATATCCAGAGAAATAACGTTTGGCTTTTAGGATTGGAGTGGGGGTGGGGAAGAGAGTGTGTGGAGGGGTTTGTTATGCGAGGAAGCATAGGTTATGGGGTGTGTTGGGGGCGGGTGGGGGGGGCTCAACTTAAAAAAAAAAGAAGTTAAAGTTAATCCTAGAGCTGCTCCCACCCCAAGCCTGCTTCTATTTTTCAATCAGCTAAGATTTAATTGGCAGCCCCCAGGCCCGACGATCTGATATTTTCTCATTAGTTTCCCATCACTAATCTTGAGTGTTAGATTGGCTTAAAGGTTGTCAACATTTGACCAATTTTATTTAAGGAAAAGAAATCACGCATTATGGCTTGAGGACGTTGGATCTGCAAATAAATCCTGCTTGGATCAGCGGAACTAACAGGCGAAAAAAATGTTGACTATTCATCGTCGTATTTAATAAGTTGCATTAATGTACATTACAGGGCAAGGGAGACGTATTATACATATATTCTGCATATATGTAGATTGAAAGAGGTTTGTATGAGAAGAATAGGCTATAAAAGCCCGGTAACTAGGTAAGGACAGTAAAGTTAAACATTTTAGACGAAGTGTAAGTAACCCAAGTGGGATAGCTGCTGAAGGTTTAGGAACTGCATTAAAATATATATGTAATTATTATTATTTTTTAAATCATCTGCGTGCATTGAAAGTCTATGTATTATCTCTGCTGGCTGGCTTGGCTGCCTTGTCGAGACACAACATCAGAGCGCCCCCTGCTGTTCCTCGAAGCAGAAGCCGAGAGTCAAATGATCATAGACTGAATTTTTTTTCTTGCCTTTCCAAAGCTACTACCCCTTCGACTGCTCCCCCACCCCCGTCCCTCGGCAGAGCCCACAGCAGGAGAATATCCCTGTCAAGGCTGGACATTTAGATGAATAAATGATGACAGAGAAAGGAGAGAGACAAAGAGAGAGAGAGAGAGAGAGAGAGAGAGAGAGAGAGAGAGAGAGAGAGAGAGAGAGAGAGAGAGAGAGACAGAGAGAGAGAGAGAGAGAGAGAAGAGAGAGAGAGAGAGAGAGAGAGAGAGAGAGGAGAGAGAGAGAGAGAGAGAGAGACAGAGAGAGAGAGAACAGAGAGAGAGAGAGAGAGAGAGAGAGAGAGAGAGAGAGAGAGAGAGAGACCTTTTCTTGGTCTCTAGGGACTAAACTATCAACTACTTAGAAAATGGACTCTTTCTCTAAATCTCTTTGCTCTCTGTTTATTCCTATTGTTGTCTGCGTTTTTTTTTCTTTTGAGCTGCCAAGCTGTAGATTCAGAAACCCAGATTTCAAGACAGTTAAAAAATATTATTACTGTATTTCAAGTATGTCACAGGAGAGCATACAGTCTATATAAAATAATATTTTACATCATTGCAAAATAAAACTCCCTAAGAACATGTTCCGTTTTATCACTGAGAGTGCCTGGAGAGATTCAAACTATCCCTTTCTATTTAATGTCTTCTCTGCCCGGCAAGAAAATACCTTTCATTGACAGGAATATTTCCATTTCCAGGGAGAGAATTCCTTCCAAACTTAGTTCATTTTCCCCCTTTATCTTTTTTTTTCCTGTGAATACATGTGTTATTCTAGGATAATATTAATGTTGATCAGCTCAATACAGGAACCCAAAATTTTATTGCAACACAACAAAATTAGCCGAAAATGTCTCCAGCAATTTTCCTCATCATTGTTGCTAAAGTTCACTGAAGGGAGATGCAGGTCATTTTAAAATTCAGTATGGTTATTTCCTCCCTATTCCTTCCAGTGGATTGAAGTGATTCCTCAGATTTCCAATTTGTATTCACCCCACTTTATGACAATTAAATAGCACAAATGTCTTCAGAAAATACCTGAAAAACTTCAGTGATCAGATTGAATGATTGCAAAACACCCCAAGTACTATCACCTGCTTAATCGCCACATTTACCAGAAAAGTCTGAAGAGACAGCTTTAACCTGATTTTAAAAACACAAATCTTCAGATAGCAGCTAGAAGCTCAAATGCACTTTGTAAATCTGTAATGCTGAGCAGCATTTTATTCACTAAGCATCCCAAAAGTTGGTGAAAAATCTTACAGTGAAACTGGGGGTAGGAGAAGAGAAAGAAAGGGTGGGGTGCGCACAGGGTGATGGAGAAGTGTATTTCTTTACTTTCATTCCTTCCAATATAACAAGACAGTATTTGTTTAAAATCTCTCCTCCTCCTCCTCCTCCTCTTCTCCTTTCTCTTTCCTTTCCTTCTTCTTACCATCTACCTACTCTTCCAGAAGAGAACTGCCAGACACAGGAAAGGGATTGAGACCCGATGAAAGCATGTAGCCCAGCTTGCAAAGCAATGGCATATAACAAAAGGCAAATTCTTATTACATTAAAAAATAAAACAATAAAAGCTTCTAAGGTCATCGTGTTAACTTAAGAAAAGTTCAATATTTGTTGTTTCAAGGGTGATTTCCCCCCCCATGATTTCAAAAAACACTCTCAGCTTCAGTACCTACAGAAATATAAACACTAAACTGGGAGGAATCTTTCTAGCCTTCCAACCTAATTTCTTAATTTGAGGATGAGGTGAGGAATAGTGTACTCAAAAATACACTAGTCTTCTAGGAGTGGTGGCGGCGACAGAGTTGGGGCAAGAGTACTGATTTCAATTGTAAATAAATGATCAAAGCATAAATAATATTTCCGACCGGGAACCCTTGAAGTGAATGTCCCTTAGATTGGGAAAATGTTCGGTGCTCACTATATTTAACACAATTCCGTTTGGTTTTTTATTTATTTTTTAAATAAACACTTAACAGCCTGGTCAACATTTTAAGTAAATTATCTTGGCGACGTCCTTTGGAAGCGTTTACTAAAACACTTCCTATCATTAATCTTAAACCACTTGAAGATTATGGTGGGAAGAATGGGATCACTAACCATTGTCATCTCAAATGGCTTTTAAGACCGTCTGCTCTTTATTGTGGCAACAAAATCAGCTCACAACTGGGATCTTTCCTCATTTGTTTTTTATCTGTTTGATTTTGCTCTATGTGTAAAAGGAAGGACAACAGAGCGAAAAAATAAAAATTAAGAAATAAAATTACGAATCAGAGGCGCCCCAGTATAGCGGATGGAAAACAGGCTGCTTAGCTCCTGACACTTCCGCTGATATCTTTCTACTTTGCATCAAGAGAAATGAAGATCAGAAAATTACAACAACAACAAAAAACCCCCCAGCATACTCAATGCAAGGTAATCTCTTAATTTTCACCTTTTCTCTGAAAAGCATTTTTTTTTTTATGATTTTCACTAACCAATATATAAAGGTTAAGGGGATTAAAAAAAAATATCTGCAAGGACACGTATTTCAATGCCTGAAACCACACATTAGTTCACTTTACCGCAATCATTCATTGATGTTTTGTTATGCTTCCCCCTTCTATCCTTTTTTTACCCTTTCAAATATAAATTGTCCGGAGGAGAAACGGATATTTGACAATGGACCCACTCTGAGGTCCCTTTCAAAGGGCTCTAAGATGCTCTAGCATTCGCTGCCTCAAGGTAACCCCACCGCACTGAGTATTTGACTGCTGGGGAGGGGGGGCGCAGAAAGGAAGAAGGTGGAGTGAGGGCGGGGTTTCTTTTGTTGCAAATAAAAACAAAATGCTTTTACCAGGCTTAGGAGGGAAAAGAGGGAGGGGGAGGAGGGAGGAGGATCATCTCCCTTTCCCCCGGCATCCCGTCAAAAAAATGTAAACAGTGCATCTTTGCACCTAAAAGACTTCTTTATGCCATTGAAAAACTATGCAAAAGCTTTCTCTCTTTCTTCCCCTTTCTTCTCTCTCATTCTTTTTTTTTCTTCTTTTTTTTTTCTTTCTAAGAGCTAAGTGGGCATTTTGGAGAAACTTGCGGAAATAAACATTCTGTATTAAGAGGAACAAAGCTAATAAAGTGTTTCATATAAAATATTTTAAAAGAAATTCTAGGAGTTACCTTCCAATGCTAACTGTGAAAATTGTAGACAACAAGGAAAATGAATGTCAAAGATTGACTTTAGACAGTTTGAATGTTCAGACATTTCGAATGGGTTAGTTCTGTAATTTTAAAATGAATTGGAGATAACCTTTCCCACACCACCCAGCTCACACGCACAACTGGATATTCACCTTGGCCCCTTAGGGCAACTTGCTTTACCTTGAGCGTGAAATGAAGTTGAATTTAGTTTAATCTTCTACCCAGGTAGATTCCCCAAAGATAGCTGTTTAAACTCGAATCCCCAGCACTATCAGTGTGTACAGGGGATTCGGCCTGAAACCAGTCTTAGATAGGTGTACAACTTGTTCCTTCGAGAAATTCAGGAGGTATCTGAAGTTAAGAGTAACAATACACTATTTTCTGGGCAATATCAAGGATATAGAGAAACTATCGGGGATAGTACTCATAACACTCCTTCCTAGTAGACAGAACCCACAGGTCTCACTGAGTTTCAAACAGGATCTAATGTAAAACGACATACAGATAGCACTCTCAATCAAGGTGTGTTTGCCTGTGTAGATTTTTTTAACACGTGCTTTTGGAGCTCGTATCTAGATACCTGCCCGAACTTTGGAAACTGACAAGTACTCCACAGCTGCACCTTCTTCCCTCTTTCACACTCTCCACCACTATTTCCTACTCTCCTTTCTTTTACAGTGTACTCAATGCCAAAAGCCAGGGGCAGCACTAGATAGGTATGAGCTACGGTTGTTTTGACACGTGAGCACTTAGTAAAGCTCTACGAAGAACTGGGAAAAGAGGTGTGAGCGAGTTGGGGGGGGTTGGAAGGAGGACTTGGGAGAGTTTTATAAATTCTTAGTTATTCAATTGCCATTATAGTTATTTGGGGGGGGGGAATGCAGAGGAGCTGAATGTGACTATATTCTCACGAGCCTAGAGGTAGGTTTTGAAGTTTATTAAAATAAGACTACGTATTCACTGTTCAATTTCAAAAGCATTATTTTAATTTTCTTATTTAAGCCATTCTGTAGATCCTAGCCACTAAGGATTGTGCTTTTATGTTTGTGTGTTTAATAAACTTCTGTCAAATCGGAAAAGATGGATAACTGCCTGTTATAAGTAATCTACTCTAATGCAATTATTTCCCCAGGTTCGAATGCAATTATAAGGAGAGGACAGAACTGACCGTTGGAATGAATTTGAGCTCCAGGGACGGGAGAAGACTGGCAGAGACAAGCTGAAATATGAGCCAAATCTATTCTGCGAGATGCACAGGGGGGCGGGGGAGGGGGATGTGGAAGGTTGCGAGTGGTGGTGCAGACTGTAAAAAGACCTCTGCCCTCAAGAAAACTTTCTTTTTTTCCCTCTTATACTCCATCCTCACACTTTTCTTTGCATCTTCCTGTTCTTGTGTATATGTATTTCTGCCACTTTCGATTGAGGAGGGGTGATTTAGTCCAGAGGACTGCTTCAGAATACATTTTATTGAAGTTCAAAATCTATGTCTATATCTGCCCAACCACAATGAAGATCTTTAGATCGCTTTAGGGAACTCTTCTAGGAAACTCAGGCCAAAAGAAATCCTATTCTACCCTCAACAAGACATGTTATTTGTTTTCTCCAAAATTATCCGGCTAATTTTCAGCTCTCACTTAACTTTGCCCGAAAGCACAAGGTTAGACAAACATGACTATTAAAAAATAACAAATTATTTTAATCATTTTTTTAAAGACAAGACCAGTGTCCACTGCTGAAATTCCTGCATTTTCAACTAGATGAAAGCCTATTAGTCCATAGACTTGCTGATAAGAAATAAGAAGGTCAGCTCTTTTAGTCCACCTTGGAATGATGGGTAAAGGAAAAATTGCTGGGGCCCCGAGGAGGAAACCCAAACAAGGGCTACAGGAGACCACTGATGTTCTCATATCCCTAACCTGATTTCCCAGCATCTCCAAGAGGGAAAGCTAGTACCGTGAAGCAGACAAATAAAGAGGATATTTGGAAGGGGCGGGGGGAGCGGCGGGAGTTTTAAAAGGAATCCTCGGATTTAGGTATCAGTCTGTAAAATATGTTTGTGACTCCAGAGTGCCAAGGCAATATCTGGCAGTCCAGGGAGCATTGCTTCACTTTTGATGTGGCTGATAACTATCTTCATAAGATTTCTCTCTCTCTCTCTCTCTCTCTCTCTCTCTCTCTCTCTCTCTCTCTCTCTCTCTCTCTCTGTGTGTGTGTGCTGGTTCATCTGCATAGAGCTGGACAAGTGGTGTTGGTGCCCCCCTCCCCGCCACGAATTTCTAGTAGAAAACATCTGCACTGATAGCCATCCACAGACGCACCTCTGGAGTCGTGCAATTAATTATACATCTGCACAAGAGCGCCTGTACACAAACAGGCAGCTTTTCACACTGATCCTCCTGGAGCAGGATGCACCCTCGTGTGTCTCCCTCCCTTCCACAAAAAGGAACCGAACAAACCCCAAATGCAAAATACACTCCAAGTGGGAAAAGTGCAACTACATGCTTCTGTTTTGACACCCGGAGCTCTGCTCACATCACAAAGTATCAGGTGCTTTGTAGATGCATTTCCTACGCGTGACGTGTGTGTGTGTGTGTGTGTGTGTGTGTATGCGCGCGCGCATATGTGTGTTTCTGTGCATAGCATCTACTCACACCACTCTCCCCATCTCTCTGCTCTGCCCTTGACCGCTCATGCCATGGTGTACTCCGAAGCCCGCCCGCCCGTCACCCCAGCTAGGCACACAGTCAGTCGGTGCAAGGGACCGCGGGAAGTGGCTGGGGGCGCTCAGGTGTCTAGGATCAGGGGAGCAGCAGCTAACAGCAGCTAGAAAGGCGCTTCCCATCTACTGGGAATCTGTGAACACGATGAGGCGGAGGCAAGCTAGTCCCTCTCCTCTCAGAAAGCGCTGCCTCCAGCGTGCCCTCTTACCCCAACTGCACTCCCACTCCCACTTCCCCAAGCTGTTTAGGCCAGTGACTGCTCGCCCTGCTGTCCAGGTCTCCAGACTGCTTTTCCTGGAATCTACAGGGAAACAATCACTGGTGCCTCTGGCCCCGCACTCTGCTTTTGCCCAGGCCCGCAGTTGCCCGTAGCTCCGTGCGTGTGTCCGTCCTCCGGATGGAGAGGAGTGGAGGGTAAGACTACAACTTGGACGGGGTTGCTTTTCCTGTCCTTTCGGATTTTCACTTAGGTCCTTAGGCAGTTCGACCTTTTCTGCCCTCTTTTATTCAGTCGGTCTCTAGGGGCTGCAAGGCCATGAGTAGAAGAGCGATCTTTAAAACACAAAAGAAGGACGCTGGAGTACTGAGGGGAGAGAGGGGGTCAGGCTCTACGTGTGAAGAATGTAGAGAATGAGGAGAAGTTAAGGTGATGGAAAGAAAGAAACCCTATTACCCATTCACGGTGCTCAAGGTTTCTCCCTAGCTTGGGGAAGCTTTGGAAACCTCTGGGTGTGAGCAAGAGTGAAAAGTCCCTTGCCTCGTAAACTATCAGGCCAGAAACCAGAAACCGAGGAGCCACCAAACCAGTGTTGCTGCAGAGGTTTCTTTGCGACCAGAAAAGAGGCATTCTTACAGCTCCCCTAAGTTCCCTCCCCCATTTCCTCCTACTCTCGTCTTTTCTCTCACTTTCTTTGCAACACCTGAAAAAGGTGGCTGGAGCTAATTTGAGGAGAAGTAAGCAACCTTAGCCAAAGGGCTGGACTTACTCCTCCCTTACAATAATATCTTGATCTTTGAGAAAAGAAGTACTAAGCATTTTCCCAGGGCAATAAACCATACCTTTATAGTCACACAAAAATACAAGTGTAAAGAAAAAAAACTTTTTTTTTTCTAATTGTGATCAGGTACAGGTAAAGGACTTCACTGCCCTTTGTGTTTGGACACATTACCTGTAAGTTTCGAGGCAAAAGAAAACTTTAAAGTCTTCTAAGGCTGGTTTTCAAAACCCTTTCTTAAGCAGAGGCTCTAACAGTATGATCTCAGTTTATCATAGTGAACACACAAACACACTCACAAATTCTGTGCTTTGACGTGTTTTTCTAAAAGGAGTTAGAGGCAAGTGCCAGGTGTAAAAGTTAAAACATCTGCTCAAAACAGTTGTTTACCTAGTTCTCTCCATTTTAATACAAGTTAAACAAACTGCTCAAAAAGGGTCATGTCATATAACTGAGTCAGGGCTGCTCTGTTTATGCTCTGAAACTCATCTCTGGGCCCTATGACTTTTGAATGTTTAAGTGATGTGTAAATAGAATAAGGTCACAGGTGATTGACAAGTTCAAGCTACTTAGCTCAATTATCAAAGTTTTATTTCCAAATCAAGTTCAATTTGATTTTCCTGCCTTACCCTAAGTCATCTTAGAAAATCCAGTGAAAGCAGACAATTTACAGCAAATCCTACATAACATTTATTTATAAAATTTTTTTTGTGCTGTGTGCCCCCTTTAATGGTTATATGGTTATCATATCCTTCCAACTAAATTTAGAAACATAGCTATCACTTTACTTCAAAAGGCAGCAGCATCATAATTATTGACTTTTGGAAGCTTTTGAAAGAAACTTTCCATATACCATCTTGAAAATTCTCCTCCTCTATCCCATCCTCCTCCCACTGAAATCCACTAGCAGAGTTCGAGAAATATTCATTCTAACTCAGAGTTCAGAAAACAAAATGTTGTATTCAGTGCCTAGCTCTCAACAACAAACTAAGAAATCAATTCACAAGTATAAATATGCTAAGACAAAGGTTAAAGCTAACATCTGATTCCAACATTTTCTTATATATTATTTAGTAGATAACAAAGCTGTTTAGATATATTAAAGCATAAAACAAAGCTATTCAGATAAGGCCCAAACCACCACATCTGGAAATGCTTCTTTTCCTCTTATCTCTCTCTTTTTTATATTTTGAAAGAGAAAAAACTGAAATACCATTAGATGATACCATCAGCTTTTAATCAGCAATGTGAACTCCTATTTAAATTTACAGGATGAATCTTTATTTCATTCATCTTTTCTTTCAGGGGGGAAAGTGAAACAGGAGAACCAACCTTATTAATTATAAGATTGATGGGGTGAAGAAAGCCAAAAGAATTTGGCTTGCAAATTATTTTGAGAGATATGAATATGTATGACTATACTAGGAACCATAGTCATGAACTCTGAATATGAGGCTTTACTCTGACTGTTTCTCCAGTGGACTAAATGAGAGTTCAGGCACCACAAACCTGACACAACAAAAGTAGAAATGTTTGAAACAGAGCCAGGGTGGGCTCCCATCAAATTTGAAATGAGAATATCTAACCAATTTTGTTGTATAGGGTTTTGATTTCTGACAGTCTATATTACAAGTTTTAAAAGACTTATCTGATGAAAGATACCCACAACGTCTTTGAGAAAATCCTGCTTTGGGGGTTCTTCAACCTTCATATTTATTTTAAACCATATACACAAAACTATGACAAGCAGTTTTCAGTTGTTAAGATTCTTTCTTTTTAAAAATGTTAATGCTGTTTATTTAGCTTGGAAAACATTTTAGAATTCTAAACATACACAAAAATCAACAAAAATGTTCCAAATATTAGGTACAGAATGTGTTTTAATTTTCATTGCTGCACTGTCCCTTTAGGTTTTTTTTAAGTTTCCATTTTAAAACAACACCATTTAACAACCACAACCAAAAAAACACTTTTCATGCCAGCTGAAATCCTACCCCCTTGCCACATCTAAGAATGGCAGCAGACTTATTTCACTATATACAAAATAACACCTTTAAGCTAGACGGACAATCATCATGTAAAGCTACTCTAACAGTGCATGCTTTGGGCCATGGCACCTAATGAAAAATCCAAATTAATTTTCCCTTTCTAAGGTGTCATAATTCCAAATATTTATCAGAAGAATTTGTCTAGTACATATGAACACACACTGCACACATACACACACACACATATATGTGGGTGTGTGGAGATATGTATATACCCCTCCCCTCCAGATATATAGCGAGAGTGTAAGTTTATAACCTGGATTTCTAACCAATAACCACAATTATCACACACAAAAGCCTGTAACTTTTTTAAATGTTTTGTTATAACAAGAGCAAAATGCACACAGAGAAGAAAACGCTAAATTTCTTTTCATTTTAAAAATGTTTGGAAATATGTTAAACTTAATACAGTTTCAAGGTGCTCATAACACCTATATCAATGACACATAAACCGAGTAACATGTCTAGAGTACCTGTTTCCAATTTTAAAGGTTAAATGCTACAAATGCAGTAGACATTAAATCAGTGAAGTTGCTTTAGTGTTTCCTCAACTGTATGGTATTTAAGAGGAATATAGTTTTATTCATCATCATCTTCCTCATTTTCTTCTTCCTCCTCTCCTACTTCTTTCCAGGAAGCTTTAGCTGTTCCCTTTGCACCAGTAAACTTTCCTTTGGCCTTATAATCAGCAACATCCTTTTCACACTATTCCTTCAGTTTTGCTACCTTTTTGTTATAGCTGCTTTTCACTGTTACTCAGATTATTCCACATTTCAACAATTTTTTTTCTCTTTGCACCATCCTCAATGGATATCCCAGGGTTTGTAGATTTTATCTTAGGGTGAAATTCTGAACATAATAGGAAGAAGCCAGATGGGGAATCCATGGAAGCATTAGGATGCCTTCCCCCCCCCCCCTTAACTGGTCCATAATCCTTCATCTTCCTGTTTTACTGCAACTTATAAGACTTTGCCATGTCATCAAACTTGGATTTTTCCTTCCCAGACATATTCTTCCATATTTCTGATCACTTCTTTTTGAAAAATATGCAAATTGACAGGAACTTCAGGATTTTTTTTTTCCTTATGCTCCTTACAGTATGTTTGTACAAAGAAGGCATAAGCAGACATTTTGCCTTATGGTTTCTTTGGGTCATCTTTAGCCATCTCTAGTGTGCAACTGTGTTGTTTGCTAGTCTCAAGATTATTTCTAGTTAACATCTACAAAATATAAAGAATACATTTTGCTACATTTAAAGAGAATACACATAAATAAGTAATTCCTTACCTTGAAAAACTGAATTAGATATAAACAGTAATATGCAATAAATTGAGGGGAAAATAGAAAATATGAAATAGCAGAGAAGGATGAGGGGGAAAAGTCTACTCCTTCAGACAAACAGTGATGAAGACTTAGTTTAGAGTTATTTAAGGAAGGTGATGAAGAAATGATGGAATTTGAATGGTAAGGACATTAGGGGTTAATTGGTTTTTAATTTTAAAGCATTCAACATCTCTTGATGTCAACTGAATGCAAGGGCAGCTAGTGGCACAGTGGATAGAACACTGACCCTGTATTCAAGAGGACCTGAGTTCAAATCCAGCCTCAGACCAAACATTGCCACTTACTAGCTGTGTGACTCTGGGCAAGTCACTTAACCCCAATTGCCTTAAAAAAAAGGTTATATATCAATTGAATG